TCCCTCGACAGCTCCTTTTCAGCATGTTCCATATGACTGGCTTTAACCTGCAGTTAAAAAGTTAATAAATGAATTAAATTAACTCCTGAGAGAAGAAAACAGCGAATGAAACAAACCAAGGCAGGATGTTTGAATCCCAACATGTTTTTGAACCCCCATTCAGTTCGGTTTGAAAAAAACAAACCTGCCAATTCACATGATTTGCAGCACAAAAGAATTAAGGCTAATCAGAATCAGAAATACTTTAATAATGCCAAACTGTCAGCAACTTCCTCCAGATGAAGGGTTAATCCACTCTTTGCCCTTTGGCTACAGCTCCTTCAACAGGCGATTCACCATCCATGAATCTTACATTGCAATACATGTTGTTCTTTTTTGGGGGGGGGTTCTAGTTCAAATAAATTATGTAACATGCTTTGTCTGAACCTGAGTTGTTGCCTAATCACAACTAATTCCATCAAATCTAATCATGCATGATTACACAAATCAATAAAAAACATTCAACCTTTTTCCTGAAAATTAAATCTACTCAAGGATAAAAAATGAGGGACCAAAGAGACACGGAGTACACGTCTGAGTCCTGTTCTCTGCTTTACCTCCAGATCTTCAGCCTTTTGAGACTGAGCCAGCACACCGCTCTCCCTCAGGGAATTCTCCAGGTCATCGTACTGCAAATGACACAAGATGAAGAACTTACTCTCAGAGAACTGCATCATTATGGCCACAACTAATTCATTTAATCTATTTGTGGTAGAAATCGTGTATTATTTGTTGTAGAACAACCTGTCATACAAATCTGATCTAATATCCAGCAGATACATAATATGAGAGCAGGTCTGTTTTCTGTTTCTCAGCACATCTCCTGAACTCACCTCCTGTTGACACTGACTCAGAGTCTCCAGGACGTTACACTTCTCATTAATGAGCTGGGAAATCTGTTCGGCCATCCAACGCTCCTTCCCTACAAGAAACAAAAGCAAAGGTAATAACCGAAAATCTCGTTTAAATATTCATAACGTTATAATAAGAAAATGCCTGATTTTAAGAAAACTTACTTCGATACATTCTGCTTTTGATCTGTGGGAAATTAAGAAAAAAAACTGACTGATTGCCTCCAAAAGAACACGTGTTTTAAGGTTATTCACAGAAATAAATACAGAGCCGAACACTCACAGAGCTGTAACATCTATAGGAGAACAACATGACTGTCACCAGCCCCACCAGACCAGTGAAGATGACCGGTTCCCATGGCACACCGTACAGGTCCGGTCCGGGTCTGATGTCATCAGGCAGAGACGATACCACCTGAATTAAGAGAAAAAGAACAGCTTTTGTTTTCATTTCTTAGTGGCTGGTTCATTACCACTCTGTTAGGTTAACTGGGGACTAAACTGCCCATAGGAGTAGCAGAAGGAGTGTGTGTGAAAGTAGGTGCTTCATTCATCTCCATAGCCCTGCCATGGACTGATCTTCAACAAGGGGTCCTGGAGGTACTGCGTGGTTGATTAGACTTTTTTTATACCCCCCGCATGCAATTTTTTCCACTAATGTAAATGTCTTTAAATCCACATGAACATGAATCCAACAGACTGTAGTAAACAGATAAATGGAGGCAGAAGATGTCTTCCAGTCATCAACGCTCACATTCAGCCACACACAGGAGCTCTATCTATCTATCTATCTATCTATCTATCTATCTATCTATCTATCTATCTATCTATCACACAGGAGCTCTTTCAGGCCGGGCCCCGTTTCATTCACAACACCTGTCCCACCAACCAGGAACCAGAACCAGATGTTTACAGTAAAAACAAAGATATCAACCTGTGGATTATCTGAGGATCTTAGTACTGAATGCCCAATAACAAGGTACATTCACACACTATAGGACCAGTTTGATAGAACACAATTTCATACAATATATATAATTAGGGGGTCCCCGCTCCATCAGAAAACCTTGAAGACCTCCAGTCTAAGGTGTACCCTATTAATCCCAGCTATCATTTTAGTGAAGAACCTTCTAGAAGAAGCAGTATAGAAATGAATAGATGGATTGTCCATTATCTAAAGTATACACCAAATATAATTGTTTCTAATCTGTGCATTTTACTTTGAATCCTAGCACTCCACAAATGTTCTTGTGAATATAATCCCTTTCACAATGAAAGCTCTCAGAATCTGGTTTTATGCAGATTATCTCCACCTGCCAAGCATATGGGGGCTTTCAAACAGCTGGACACCGAAGTGCTCAACATTTTCCTGATTGCATTTTTATCCCCTTAATAAAGACTTCTCCCAGCATTTTCTTGTTAAAATTACAAACATCAGGAAAGCTCAACAATTGCAGGCTGTTATTGACAGTCATTTGCTAACTATCGCAAGCTAACTATGCTAACAGTCACAAACACGTATAAAAGACAACTTAAAAACATGACGGCGTTGACAGTTGGTCATTTGGTCATAAACAGCATATGGGGAGTCAAGAATCTGAGATAGAAACCGCAACACAAAGCTGAAAAGGCTGAAATAGCGACACCTTTTCGGTGATATGGCAGATGCGTTACTCGAGCTATGGCGGCTAACAGGGAGATGCTAACACTAAACCTGCCACATAACGTACATCTTTCACTTTCTCCACGGCGAGACTGTAGTAGGCTTCCGCCGTGGCCTGGAAGTCCACCGCTTTGCTGGCCAACGGGTCACTCGCCAGATGTTCCGCCATGTCCAATTTATTTCATTTGGCTTATAATTTTAGATTAGTCTTGTTTATAGCGACTAGAAAGTGTAGCTGTCAGCCGGGTTAACGGCGATTTCACATCCCTATTCACAACAGTGACGCTTCAGACCGCACCACGTCTCACAGCACGTCGTAGGGAAAACCACAAAGTTTCATGATCTCTTCCAGTTCTCTTTGATAAGCCTATATAATTTATTTTCAAAAAATTTTATTATAAGACGTGTTTGATTTGATACAGAACAATAAGACATTAATATTTCGTTTTTAGAGCTCGCGTGTTCTAAATGTAATATTTTATCACCCCTGGTTGTATAAATGGTTTGATCCAAACGTCACCAATTGTAAAATGCCACACTGACACGTCGGAGGGTTTTCAAAGTGACACCGGGGTAAACAGGTGTCAGCTAAACGAAAACTGAGCTTTATTGTTTATCACCGTGACTTACATCTATTTAATATGACTGTTTAATACGTGGTTGCAATAAAGTTTTCTCTCAAACAAGCAAAAAAGTTTGATTTAAACCCCCTTAGTTTCAACCTAAGTTGAAAAGCTTAGTAGGAAAGCTGGAGTTGAACTGCCACCTTAAATTCACACCGTGTTTCTAAACTTGAAACTCACCGAGTGGGCTTCATTTTCCTCCATATGTACATATAAGTCACTTTCCCTGTGGAACCCAGTTTGCCTTTCAGTTGAGTTGAAGGCCAGCTGGCTGAATGTGTGACAGACCCAAATGTGTGGGTCGGTGACAGAGCCAACTGGGACAGAGCCAGGGCTAAATTTTAAGGGCAGAGTCAGATCAACTTTCAGTTCAAAGTCTTAAAGAACCAGACACTAAAGAGTCGTGGCTCCTGGTGAATCCAACCACCAGAAGCCCATTTTCCAAACATAAAAGGCCTCTAAGATTTTAATGTCCGTGTTTTAAATCTGTTTACATGTGTAATTCTGACTTAATCGAAAGAACAGATTTCATTGTTTCATTACTATTTCATTTCATTAACTATTTCATTATTTCATTAACTAATTTAATTTGAATATCATACAGTGTCCTCAGTTGCCGCTTCCATGGCAACAAGTTTGATCCTTGGAAGAAATTCTGGCTCACTTAAAGGAAAAGAATCGATAAAGTCAATAAAGTTTATATTGTTGAATGCAGGCTGGACTATTAAAGGGAATGATCACATCCAGTATGATGTACTTGCTCGAGAGAGTTATTATTATTTTTTTATTTTATCTTTTTTAAATTATTTTATTTCATTATTTACAATTTTTTTAGGCTTTGGAACTTTCTAAATAGTTTAATCTTTTCAAAAAGCAATTAAACTAAATATTAATATCTTTAAACCATCTAATATTCTCTGTCAAACACATTTTTATCCATTTAGTTTAGAAGAAAAACTATGTTAGAGGTGGGATAAACAAATAGGATGTACATTCTATGGAAAATCCATCCATTTCCCTGTAGTCACTCCACTTTCTTTTACACTCACTTCTACAGGCAACTCAGAATCTCTTATTACCCCAATGTATGACAAGAGGATAACAGGTTTAAAATGCAGTTATAAATCATAAAATATTCTTACTTGAACAGTCAGCCATACGAGGATCCCCCTCAGAGCACTAATGTGGGTCAGGAGGTCCTCAGCCAGCTGGCGAGCAAAGTCCAGACTAGTTTTGATCCTCCCTGGAGTCACACATCCATCGCACTTTAATCAGTTATATTCTAAAAAACTGTACACACATACAGCGGGGGAAATAAGTATTTGACCCCTTTGTGATTTTGCAGGTTTGCCCACTTACAAAGAATGCAACGATCTATAACTTTAATCATATGTACATTCTAACAGTGAAAGACAGAATCCCAAAGAAAATTCCAGAAAATCACATCATATGAATTTATAAAAATTGATAACCATCTGATCAGGAAAAATAAGCATTCTTTGTAAGTGGGCAAACCTGCAAAATCAGCAAGGGGTCAAATACTTATTTCCCCCACTGTACACATATCCCATCCAGATTTCGAGGCTGTGACTTGCAGGAATGAGGATTCGTACCTTCCTGTGGTTTTGTGGGAGGAATGGATGCTTCCTCCTCTTCTTTGCTTCCATCCTCATTCTCAGAGTCCATCTCTTTATGTGTGTCACCGTCATTTTCTTCCCCCCCCACTGCCTGCTCATCTCTCTGGATGCTGTCATCAGGTGGGTCTTCGTTTTCTGAGACACAAACAAGCAGGTTTACTAATGAAATCCCCCATAAACACACACGTTAAACTGGGTTAAACTGTCTCTGATGGCAGCTGAGGTGGTTTGACAGGAGAATACCTTTCTGATAACTGACTTCTGACATTCCTGTGTTGAAGCTTTCCTTCACAGATTTCAGTAAATTCTCCAGCTTCTGGAGCGCGATGAGCGTTTTGGTCCTTTCCGTGTCTTCCTGGGGGAAGTCGGAGAGCCTCCCACTGGGGGCCACCAGGGCCTCCACATGCACATCCAGCTTTCCAAGCATATCTGACAGAATTAATCCATCTTCCACCTGGTTTTCGGCCTCTGGACGCCCCAAAATATCATCCAAAATCTGCATCCTATGCCACCCGAAAAGCTCCACCAAAATGGCCACTTCGGCCTCCCCGAGCTGGGCCAGGATGTGGGGGTACGGCTGGGCCTCTGGTGGGGGGGGAGGGGCTGAGGGGGGGGGTCCGGTGACCCGGTCCAGGTCTGGAGGCGGGGGGGTCTGGACCGGGGAAAGAGATCCAGAAGAAGGTGTTCGGCTGAAGAGTCCAAAAGCACTTCGGAGGACCCCGAAAGCTCCTCCCCCTCCAGAGTCTGAACCCCCTAAAACCTCTGAACCCCCTCTAGTTTCTGAACCCCCTATAGTTTCTGAGCCCCCTATAGTTTCTGAACCCCCTATAGTTTCTGAGCCTCCTATAGTTTCTGAGCCCCCTATAGTTTCTGAACCCCCTATAGTTTCTGAGCCTCCTATAGTTTCTGAGCCCCCTATAGTTTCTGATATAGTTTCTGAACCCCCTCCAGTTTCTGAACCCTCTGTTTCTGCCTCATTTCCTGGACTGCAGAGCTCCTTTGAACACTGAAGGCTTTTGTGGTCCTCTTGTTTCATCTCTAGATCTTCCAGATCCTCCTTTCTTTCCTCTCTCTTTTCTCTCTCGTCTCTTTTCCGTCTTTCCGTCTTTTCCGTTTGTCCGACTGTGTCAGGAAGCCATGATTTGCTCTCTGTTTCTGGCACATTGACTTTATCTCTCTGACTTATCTCCACCTCCTCTTCTTCTTGCTTTTCTTCTCCTTTGTCGGTCTTCTCATTTGACTCAAATTCCTCGGACCCGTCTGTCCTGACCAGTGTTTCCGACTTTAACTTTTCCATCTCCTGCCGTTCTTCTTTTCCTTTAGTTTCATCTTCTTCTGCCATTGTTTCCATCACTTCCTCGCTTTTCTTCTTCCATTCTTCTTCTGTTTCTTCCTCCTTTGACTCTTCTACCTTTCTTACCTCCTCCTTATCTAATTCTTGTTTCTCTTCTTCTTCCACTTCTGTTTCTCTCTGCTCTTCCTGTCTTTTATTTACTGTTTCTTCCTCCTGTAAATCCTCCATTTTCCTCTTAAATTCTACTTCTTCTGTGTCCTCCTCTTCTGACTCTTCTACCTTCTTTACCTCCTCATTCTTGTCCAATTCTTTGCTATTTTCTCTCTCCTCTTCTTCCATCTCTATTTCGTTCTGCTCTTCCTCCCTTTGCATCTCTTTCTTATCCTCTTCGACTTTTTCTTCCTCCTGTAAGTTCTCCATTTTCTTCTTGAATTCTAGTTCTTCTGTTTCTTCCTCCTTTGACTCTTCTACCTTTCTCACCTCCTCTTCCTTTTCTAATTCTTTTTTCTCCTCTTCTTCCACCTCTGTTTCTCTCTGCTCTTCCTGTCTTTGCATCTCTATCTTATCTTCATTTACTGTTTCTTCCTCCAGTAAATCCTCCATTATCTTCTTAAATTCTAGTTCTTCTGTTTCTTCCTCCTTTGACTCTTTTCCTTCCTTTACCTCCTCCTCCTTTTCTAATTCCCGTTTCTCTTCTTCTTCCATCTCTCTTTCCTTTTGCTGCTCCTCTCCTCGTACTTCTTCCTTCTCATCTCTAACTTTCTCTTCTTCCCTTAAATCGTCCACTTTCTCTTGTTCCTTCTCCATCCTTTCACTCTTTTGCTCTTTATTTAAATCCTCCTCTTTCCCATCTTCTGCTCCTGCTGATTTTAGGTGGTCGTCCCTCAACTCGTTTTCCTCTGAGTGGGATTTTTCCCCCGTTTCTGTTTGATCTCGTCCATCTGCAGCTCTAAACTTGTTCTCACCTTGTGGAGAAACATAATCCTGATTCAGGTTTGGTGAAGTGGCTTCCTTCTCTCCCTCTGGAGCTTTGTCCTGTAGACTCTCAGCAGATATCAGAGACTCTTCTTTAAGAGTCCCTGTCTCCAATTTCTCTGAGTTTTTAGTGTTATTCTCAGTAATGGGAGGAGTGAAACTTTCCCCAGCAGGGATTGGCTCGTGAGTATTCTCAGATGCTGAAAAGAAAAGCTGGTTCTGTCCACTCGCTTTCTCTGATTCCTCAGTCTGAGCTCTGATCACTTCGTTTTCCTCTCCGTCACGTTCTTCTTCTTTATGATCTTTGAACAACACATTCTCTTTTCCATCCTTCTCATCGTTACTTTCTTCTTCTCCTGAGGAGTTCCACTTTGACTCACTGAAACTGGGATCAGGCTCATTAATTTCTCCCTCCTCTGGCTTTGAGTCGTACTTCAGATGATCTCCATCCTCCTTTTCTCCTGCTCTCTCCTCATCTATTTCACTGTCAGCTTCTGTTTTCCTATCTTTAGCATCACCTGTTTGGAAAAAGCTGTTAAACATGGACGCTACTCCACCTTCAGCCGGGAGTTTTTCCTCTAACTCTTCCAGTCGTTCTGAGGCTGAATCCTTTTTTTTCTCGTTTCCTTTATCCTCAGCTTCAACAGTTTCTTTTCCGAAGCCCAAAATACCCCCGATTCCCATATCCACCCACGAACCGGACGCCGGCTGCTCATCCTCACCTTCTCCCTGAATCGGTTCCTGTCCCGGATCCTGATTGGTGGATCCAAAGCCCAGCCTATCGGACAGCCCGTTCCTCAGCCAACCCAGCGTCCCCGTCTCTTCCTTCTCCTCTTCCTGTAACCGGCTTCCCTCCAGGTCCAAAGACATCCTCCTGCTCCTGAACGTTTCTGTGGGCTCTCCATCCGTTTCTCCTCCTTCGTCTTTCTCGTTTTCCGCCGCCTCTGGTTTTTTCTCTCCTCCAAAGCCCAGCATCCCGGTCATGGTCGAAGCAAACGTTTCCTCCTTGTTCGGACTTTCCGAGGCTTCTTCTGGTTTCCCGTTTCCTCCAAAACCCAGCCATCCCGTCAAAGAAGAGGCAAGCGACTCCTCAGTTCTGGTTTCTTTTCCCTCCTCTCCCCTCTCCTCATCCTGCTCCCCTCCTTTACCCAGGCCTAACCATCCCGTTGCTCTGGAACCCAACCAGGAGGAGGGAGACCCACCTTGTTGGTTTTCGCTTGTAGGAGTCTCGTGAGCTTCCTCATTAAGTCCAGCTGCATCTCCAGCTTCTTTTGTCTCTACTCCCTCTGCCTTCTGTGCTCCAGTCAGAGATTCTGAAGATGTATCGACACTTGGGTCTTGAGTTTTTGGAGTGATCTGGGTGGTTTCTGGGTCCTGAATGGGGATTTCCTGATCACTATAATCATCATCCGCGTCCAGGTCAGAGGAGTCAATGAGATAGCCGAACTCATCCACGCAGAAGAAATCAGATTTCTGCGGGAAAATCAAGTTGAAATGTTAGATAAAGGACAGCGAGCATCAACAGGAAAAGGAGGGCAACTGAAACTCAGTAATTATTCAAAATCCTTTAGCTGTTGTTTACCTGTGTCTCAACCACTTTCTCTGTAGTTGCAAAAACTTGCTCCTCTACCACAGCATCCTTTGGGAAATAGCCAAACTGTTTGTCAATCTGAAAAATATATACATATTAAAGGAAAAGCAACATAAATGAAAATGTATGGCTTTACATTTACAAGCAATTATCAATCATCTGTATATTTTCTTCTCAAAATGTTCATTAATCATAAATCTAGCTTTTTAAACCAGTGTGAAACAGTACTAACTCATCACAGCTAATCAGTCCTCACAGCCCAGAGCTGACTGTATGATAATGGACACTTATCTGCTCCGGGTTTAGCTAATAATTCATTATATCCAGCATTACGAAGGTTGCCAAAGAGAGAGTAGGAATTAGACGTACAGTGCCTGCCCAGAGGTCTTCCCTTCGTCCGGCCAGTTTGTGGTAAACGGTGATTGTGTCTCCTGTTCTGAAGTTTAGAAAGCGGCAGTCCTGACCCCGGTGGTCCCTGACCGCCCGCACTCTGCTCATCATACCTGGACACACAAAGACAAATCAGGGGGTCAACAGGAAGCCAAATCCACAAAGGACAGCAACTGTGTGTAGTGTTTCACACAGATTCTGCATCAGGAGGGTTTGAACTCACGTTCACATTCAGAGTCTCCACAGATCTTCCAGTCAGACAATAATCCAGAATTCACTTGAGGCAAAAGCACAATGGCGGCAATCCACAGGTATCTGTGACCCAGAGAAACACTCATTCTTGGTGTTTTAACAGGACTGGATTAGAAATAAATCCCATAACAGCGTGGAAATGGCTCCTTGTGCTGGCAAGTGGACGTTGCCTCTGGGTTGTTTCTCTCATGAAACCTCAACAGCAAATGAACCAACACAGATAAGATATAAGTCCACCACAGAGACAATCATTAACCTCCCAGAGCTGCTGGCAGAACAGAACTTTATCTGCCCCCCGGTCAAAGGTTTTAGCTCCATTATAAAGCTTTGAATGGTGGGACTAACTGTACACTTTGTGTATGAAAAGAGTGAAACTACGGTGGCCGGGAGGTGCCGACAAACGTTAGAAAACGGGCAAAGTAACTTGCTTTTTTGACTAAAATGTGGACTTCATACTACGTCGCGGAAAATAAATATGTGGCTGCCAAGCTATCGCCGGCGTCTGTTACTGTGGCAACGCGGCCGGCGCACACTCTTGACGTCATCACTCCGCACCTTCAAACAAGATGGCGCCCAGTTAGACGGAGCTTTCCGTGCAGCCTCCGACTTTCTGCTCCGTGACGTTTGAGGCGAAGTTTAAGTTTGGAAAATGAAGTCGGACGTTGAAGACTTGATGCCCAGGCTGCTGCCGGTGGAGTGTGGAGCCGGTACCGAGAACCTGGACCTAACGGAGCCCCCCAGGAACCCGCAGGAGTACCTGCGACAGGTCCAGTAGGTGAAACCCCTCTGAGAAAACATCCTCTGCTTCTGAGTCCACTTCAGAATTTTTTTTTTTACATTCAAATGAATAAGAAAATGGGAAGAAAGGGTTGTTGAATTCTTGAGGACTCATAAGATAATATAAATCTGCTTTATTAAGGATATATTTTCTCTTAACGCACTGAAGTCTTTATTTGTGTTGGGATCCAGACAAATCTGACTTAGTTTTTTCTTTCTCGTTACTTTCTTTGGCTTCTCATTGTTTGACTCTTTAACTGACTGGGTGATGTGTTTCCCTGTTAAAGGCTGGAGGCGTCGCTGTGTCCAGAGGTGGTCGTTGCTCAAATTGACCCCAAGAAACTGAGGAGCAAGCAGTCGGTCAATGCGTCGGTGAGTGGAAATGAAGGCTGCTCTGAGGCTCAGGGTCAGCCTGGGGCCTTCAGTAAAGCCGGTGTAAAGATGGCTGCTCAGTAAAGGTGGCTGTCCGGTTGCAGGTGGAGGGATGCCATGCGGCCCCTCTGGGCCTCTCCCCCAGCCTCGGCTGGCAGCGGCTTCAGGTCAGCAACTTCTCCCACGTCAGACAGGTAAGAGACACCCAAACTCAGAGTTTTAGGCCCTCTGAAGTTTTAACTCATTGACTGCCAGCCATTTTCAGAACAGAGAGTCCCATAGTGCCGGAGTTTTTTGAGCATTTTGACTGATTTTTCAAGAGCCACAGAATAGTTTGTGCTATGACTATGTAAACACCGAACACACCAAAAGAAAGAGTAGACTCTCTTCTTTCATCAGGAAAAAAAAAGTGTTTCAACCTTATTCCGTTCTTCCTGGACTTGCGTCTCACCGGCGACATGTTCTCTCATAGAACCGTTCCCTTTTTCTTATTGGCCTACAGTCTATGCTCATCTCCCATCAAAAGTGGCACTGCCCCCTAGAGGGTCAATTTGTTACTACATACTCTGTCTAGAAGCCCATATTTACGGACAAGCTTTAGCAGATCGTCCCCCAGACACTCTCGTTAAAAAACATAAAAGACGTCTATAGACGTCTTTGGCAGCCAATGAGTTAATGACCTCTTGTTTTGAGTTCCAGGTTTTCCTTTAGCAGTGAACTGACTGAGTTGTTTTCTTTTGTTTTCCCTTTTCAGACCATCGCAAAGAACCGGACCCACTGGAGCGGCCACAGTCTGGACGACAACGTTCAGATGGTGAGACGGGTCTGTGTTGCTGGGATTTAGGAACCCTCCAGCTTTTTTAAGATAAGATAAGAGCTTTATTGATCTCACAGTGGAGAAATTCACTGGTCACACATCGGTTAGAGTTCAAAAGAAGGAAAAGGTGCATATAAAGTACAGCAAAAACAAACAAATATACAAGGAAGCAACACAGCGCAGAGATTTGGGTGATTAAAATATATACAATCATTGATGGCTCACACACAGTACACATTTTACACAGCCCTCTGAATGTGTGTGTTTTTTAGCCTAAAATGGCGGATGAGGAGGGCTGGACCAGGTTCTGTTTGGGGGAGGAGGTTCTCCGGGGTTCTGCGGTCGGCGTCCAGGACCAGGAACCGGCGCTGGACTACAGGAAGGTCGGTGTTGCCACGGTTACTCCAGAGAGGTTTCTGCTGAGTTCAGAGGTTCTTAGCGGTGCGTTTGTGTGCAGCTGGGATTCCCCCCCTTCCTGAGCATCATCAGCAGACTGAACCAGGTAAGCGGGGGCCGTTTAAACGCCGCCGAGACGTTCTCCGTTCTGCGGTTCTGCCCCCCTCAGCTCTCTGATCTGTGGGTTCCTCAGGCCACCGTCCAGACGGTGCTGGACGTTCTCATCAACTGGCTGGAGGAACGGGAGTTCGTCCCACAGCTGGTGAGTCTGCCTCCGTTCTCCGGCGGTTCTCTGTTTTCCGGGGGTTCTCCAGTGGGCCACTTTTCTCTGGTGGGCCCCTGTTCTCCGGTGGGCCTCCGTTTTCTGGTGGTTCTCCGGTGGGCCCCTGTTCTCTGGTGGGCCTCTGTTCTCCAGTTGTTCTCCGGTGGTTCTCTGTTTTCCGGGGGTTCTCTGTTCTCCGGTGGTTCTCCGGTGGGGCTCCATTGGGCCTCTGTTCTCCGGCAGTTCTCTGCTCTTTGGGGGTTCTCCGGTGTTTCTCCGATGAGCCTCCGTTCTCCGGTGGTTCTCTGTTCTCCGGTGGGCCCCTGTTCTCCAGTGGTTCTCTGGTGTATCTCTGTTCTCCGGTGGTTCTCTATTCTCCGATGAGCCTCCGTTCTCCGGTGGTTCTCTGTTCTCCGGAGGTTCCCTGTTCTCCAGTGAGCCTCTGTTCTCCGGTGTATCTCTGTTCTCCGGTGGTTCTCTGTTCTCTGGTGAGCCTCTGTTCTCCGTTGGGCCTCCGGTGGTTTTTCTGGTGGTTCTCCGGTGGGCCTCTTTTCTCCGGTGGTTCTCTGTTCCCCTGTGGTTCTGTGTTCCCCTGTGGTTCTCAGTTCTCCGGTGGTTCTCTGTTCTCTGGTTGTTCTCCAATGGTTCTCTGTTCTCCTGTGGTTCTGTGTTCCCTGCAGGGCCGCTGGCTGTTCTCCCTGCTGGCCTGCCTGGAGAAGCCTCTGCTGCCTGAGGCTCATTCCTCCATCAGACAGCTGGCCCGGAGGTGCTCGCAGCTCCGCGCCCGCCTGGTACCAAAACCACCCCCCCACTCTCCTCATTATGGTCTTTCCCTATTTACAGAGTACCAAAACTCACTCTGAACCAGAACCCACCCCCCCCACACACACACTCTCCTCACTCTGGTTTCTACTGTCCAGCTCCATTTTTATAGATCATATGTACCGAATCTGACCCTTTATTCCGCCTGCTTTTCGTTCTGAAAACTCGCATAACTGATCAGACTTGTTTTGTTAACCTTAAACACACAACTCTACACAATTTGTGCCTCTTTGTTCACATTCAACAATATTTGTTTTCTTTGTTTTAAACTGTTTGACAGGCATTTGTTGTGGAAACTCTGAAGCAAAAGTCTGAGTCCGTTTAAGAGAGTCAGAGATAGAAAATGTATTAAAGGGAAAACTTACCAGAGAGAATGAAATGGAATAGACAAGAAGAATAGAAAAGAAAATTATCATACATATATAGAATTCCCCCACACATTCGTTGTAAGATCTATCAGATACTAAAAGTAAATGTTACAAAAAATTACTTTTTGGTGTCTTTTTAGAGTTAAATGGCGTCGACACAGACATGTTGAGGTCCTAAATCTTCAGATTTTAGATATTTTCCAGATTCACATCATCAGTTTCAGATATCCTTTGAATGGTTTGTACAGAAACATTCAGGAAAAATCACATTCTTATGGCTCCTCTTTGCTGAAATGCTTCCACAGGACAGTCAGGAGGACGAGAGGCTGCCGGCCCTGAACCTGCTCATCTGTCTGGTTGCCAGGTGACAAACCCCCCCCCCCCGACCTGAAGGCCGAACATGAAGCAGAGCTCCGTCCTTAACTCATTGACTGGCAGCCATTTTCAGAACAGAGTCCCATACTGCCAGAGTTTTTTGAGCATTTTGACTGATTTTTCAAGAGCCACAGAATAGTTTGTGCTATGACTATGTAAACACCGAACACACCAAAAGAAAGAGTAGACTCTCTTCTTTCATCAGGAAAAATAATGTGTTTCTACCTTATTCCGTTCTTCCTGGACTTGCGTCTCACCGGCGACATGTTCTCTCATAGAACCGTTACCTTTTTCTTATTTGCCTACAGTCTATGCTCATCTCCCATCAAAAGTGGCACTGCCCCCTAGAGGGTCAATTTGTTACTACATACTCTGTCTAGAAGCCCATATTTACGGACAAGCTTTAGCAGATCGTCCCCCAGACACTCTCGTTGAAAAACATAAAAGACCTCTATAGACGTCTTTGGCAGCCAATGAGTTAAAGAGTGATGTCCGTTTGTCCTGCAGATACTTTGAGCAGAACGACCTGGCGGATCAGGAGTGAAGAGGATTGGTCCTAAACGGTGGAGCGGGGAGCAGTTTTATATCGGAGGAGTTCGTGGTTGTTCGATGCCCCGAACTCAGAACTATTGTTTTTTGTAGAAAACTATTAAAAATTTGACTGAAACTCTCCTGGATTTTTATAAACACAAAACAAGAACAACCAAGAAATGACTCATGACTATTCAATGTAGAGGTGTTGGATTAACTATATAATGACTATAAAATGTTAAATTTTTCTCTTTACAAAACCTTCCAAACCTAAGTATGCAACACAAAACACCACTTGAGACGTTTTACTAAAAAGAAAAAAAGAATCTCCATAATAAATGACAAAAAGCCAGTTTCAGCCATACCGTTCCTTTAATTTTCATCTGATTTTCAGCCCGTACAAAAAAAACCAAAGTGTTTAAAGGAAATGGACTCATTAGAACCATCACATGGGTTAGATTAACTATATAATGACTACAAAATGTTTAATTTTTCTCCTTCCAAACCTAAGTATGCAACACAAAACACTTGAGATGTTTTCCTAAAAAGAAAAAAAGAATCTCCATAATAAATGACACAAAGCCCGTTTCAGCCATACCGTTCCTTTAATTTTCAGCAGATTTTCAGCCCGTACAAAAAGAAACAAAGTTTAAGTCCAACAGTGGAGCAAATCACAGGTGACACTGATCAAACTGTGGAAACAAGGTGTGAAACAGCGAGTACTTTGACTACAGTATGAATGGCCGCTCCTATCCCAATAAACCCAGAAATGACCGCGTTAGTGAGGTCAAAAACAGTCCACACAGCTCCACAGAGACCCAAACGCTGTTTGTCTAGAGTTAAAACGACTGGACAAAGATCTGGAAGCTTCTCAGAGACGATTAAAGACGGAGCAAAGCGACCGATCATCTATCGAGCTTTTCACCCAATCAGAACGTGAAAAGCCTTCCATGTTAAAACTTCCTTTTAAAAAACAAAAACAACTAAAAAAAACACAAAAGAACCAAAGTGTTTAAAGGAAATGGACTCGTTAAAACCATCTCATTTGGGCCGGAGCCTCTCATTGGCTGAGAGGAGTCAGTAAATTGTTATCGTCTCTTGTCCTTCCTGTCTCTATCCTTATGCTCCCTATCGCCCCGGGAGACCCTGCCCCGCCCTTCCTCGCTCCTCCTCTTCCTCCTCTCCTTCGCCCCCTTCGAGTCCCTCCCTCCTCCTCCTCCACTACTCCCTCCTCTCTTGTGTCCGCCCCTCTCCTCTTCCTCCTTCTTCTTCTTCTTGTCCCGGCCTTTGTCCGACGGCCTCCTCTTCCTCCTGCCTCCGTCGGGGGTGCGGCTCGTTCGGCTGCTGCCATTGGACGAGGAGGACGAGGAAGAGGAGGAGGAGGAGGAGCGGCTGGAGCCGGAGGAGGAGGAGGAGCTGCCGCTGGAGGAGGATCCGGAGGAGGAAGAGGAGGAGCTGCTGCTTCGGCTGTGGAGCAGCTTCTTAGAGCCTTTTTCCTTCTTCCTCCCTCTGCCTCCGTTCTCTCCCTCCTTGGCCCCCCCCCCCTGCTCGTCTTTCTGGGGGGGCACCTCCTCGGGGGTCCCCTTCACAGCAGGGGGCTCGCCCCCCTCAATGGGCCCGGGGTTGGCGGGCTCCTTTAGGGGTCCCGGGGCCTCCTCCTCGGGGGGGTCCAGCGGCTGGTCGTTGTCGGGGGCAACGGGTTGCTGCGTCTCAGGGGGGCTGGTTTTGTCTCCGGGGTCTGGGGTTTCCTCCTGACTGGCCTTTTCCTTCTCCTTTTCTTTCTCCTTTTCCTTCTTATCCTTCTCCTTTTCTTTCTCCTTCTGCTTCTCTTTCTCCTTCTCCTTCTCCTTCTCCTTCTCCTTTTCCTTCTCCTTCTCCCCCCCCACACTGGCCTCCTCCCTCTCTGGCCCTGTCTGCACCTCCATCTCTTCTATCTCTGGACTGGCCTCCTTCTCCTCTTTCTCCCCCTTCTCACTCGACTCCATCCCTTCCTCCTCGTCTTTCTTCACCTCTTCCTTCTCCCCCTCCTCCCTCTCCTCCCTCTCCCCCCCCTCCGCTACCTTCCTGTCCTCCTCCTCCTCCTTCTCCCTGTCCTCCTCGTCTTCCTCGTCCTCCTCCTCCTCCATGTCTGCGTCCCCCCTTTTACCTGCCTGCCCTGGGGGCTTACCCTCCGCCGGGCGCTCCTTCCTGGCCGGGTTTCCGTCCGGTTCTCGGTTCGGCTGCCGCCGAGGGCGAGCCTCCATCTTGCTGAGGTGCTCGGCAAACGCCTCGCGCCTCTCCTCAAACACAGCTGAACGCAGAAGCGAAAAAGAGAAAAAGAGAAAAAGACAGCCGTCAGACACCATCGGCTTCAGAACCCCATGCTTATTTTTCCTCATCAGATGGTTATCAATTTTTATAAATTCATATGATGAGATTTTCTGGAATTTTCTTTGGGATTCTGTCTTTCACTGTTAGAATGTACATATGATTAAAGTTATAGATCGTTGCATTCTTTGTAAGTGGGCAAACCTGCAAAATCAGCAAGGGGTCAAATACTTATTTCCCCCACTTCTATTGTCCATTCACCAACAGACTCATTTATATATATTATATTATATGTGAAAGAAAGAATAACTTAGAGAATAATTGTATTTTGTCTTGTTTGGTCAACATAGAGGGTGGATCTTAAACCAAAACTGAAGGGGTGGGGGGGAAATGGTTCTCCAAAAACAGCACTAATGGGTCATTTATATGTAAAAATAAAAGGGATTTATGAGTTATAAAATACTGTTTGGGGGGCTGGAGGCTGGAGAAAGAAAATTCCAGAAAATCACATCAGACTCACCATTTAGTTTCTTTGTGGAGTCGTCGAAGAGTTTCTGGCTGGCGGAGCACATCTTCCCGGGCAGATAGAAGATGTGGGGCTTGGTCTTGGTGCGGATGTATTTCAGCAGGTGGCTGTTGTGGCCGTTCCACTCCTCCTGCTGCAAGCACACAAAAAAAAAACCTAAAAAACCGACCTGAGCAGCTTTAACACGGGAAGTCCCAGAGAATTCCAGTTTTCCTGCAAACTGGAATTTGCAGGAAAGTTATTACATTTAGCCAAATTGGACAGTGATGCGACAACATGAAGAGTTACATGACTTCCCTCTTCAAGTTTGTGTGTTCTCTCTATCTTGCTAACTGTCCCTGTTGTAAAGCAGATAACCTGAGATATGACCAGCCCTTCTACAGGAGACTGGATAAAGCAGGGGTGTCAGAATCCAGTCCTCTTTGGGCCGCTGTCCTGCAGGTTTTTAGAAATTTTCCTGCTTCTGCACACCTGAGTGTTATTAAATTGGATCTCCTTTGGACATTGTTGAGCTTTGCACCGGTCTAATGGCCCTTTGATGTGAATCAGGTGTGTAGAAAAAGGGTTACATCTAAAAACCTGCAGGCCAGCGGCCCAAAGAGGACTGGAGTTTGACACCCCTGGGATAAAGGCTTATAAAAACTGGCATCAGAACAAGAGCATGTTTGCTCTCTAGTAAACAGGGCAGATGCTCATTACAGATTAAATATTCTTGCTTCCTCTCTACACTGTTCCAGCTCATATAGCTATTTTCATATACAGATCAGTTATCGTCTGATCACTGGTGGCTCCTATCACTGAAATCATTCTATTGATGACGTAGACCTAGTTATATTTAATTACAAATATGATTCCCTCCTATTCTCAGGTAAAACACTTGTCAACAGAGAGGCTAAACTTGGGTGGAATGGGGTGCTAATGGTGCATTTACATCTGAAAAGGAATTCGTAAGTTGTGAAATACTGTTGGTGGGCTGAAGGCTGATGAAAATTCTCATATCTTTGTGGCTTTTTAGTGTAGAATGCCTTTCCAGTTTCCTCTCAGAGAATTCCAGTTTTCCTGCAAGCCCCCCCTCCCCTCTATAAGTTTGTGTGTTCCCTGTGTCCCTGTTGTAAAGCAGATAACCTGAGATATGACCAGCCCTTATACAGGAGACTGGATAAAGCAGGGGTGTCAAAACTCATTTTCCTGCTTCTGCACACCTGATTCTGATAAATTGGATCTCCTTTGGACATTTTTGAGCTTTGCACCGGTCTAATGGCCCTTTGATGTGAATCAGGTGTGTTGAAAAACTGTTACATCTAAAAACCTGCAGGACAGCGGCCCAAAGAGGACTGGAGTTTGACACCCCTGGGATAAAGGCTTATAAAAACTGACATCAGAACAATAGCATGTTTGCCTTCTAGTAAAAGCAGATGGTCATTATTGTCTAAATATTCTTGCTTCCCTCTCTACACCGTTCCAGCTCATATAGCTATTTTCATTATACAGATCAGTTATCGTCTGATCACTGGTGGCTCCTATGTATGAAATCATTCCACTGATGATGTAGACCTAGTTCTATTTAATTACAAATATGATTTCCCCCCTTTTCTCAGGTAAAACACTTGTCAACAGAGAGGCTAAACTGGGGTGGAATGGGGCCCTAATGGGATATTTACATTTCAAAAGGGATTGATGAGTTGTCAAATACTGTTGGGGGGGCTGAAGGCTGATGAAAATTCTCTTATCTTTGGGCTTTCTAGTGTAAAATGCCTTTCCAGTTTCCTCTCAGAGTTTATTGAGTCTCAGACTCCCTTACCAGCTGAGCCAGCTCTACTTTCTGCTCCAGGAGTCTGAGCTCCGTCTGCTTGGCTCTCCTCTCTTCGAACAGCTCTCTCTTTTCGTTTTCCACCTTCTTCCGCTCAGCCTCGGCTTGAACTTCCAGTTTCTGCTCGATCTCCGAGCGCCGCTTTTGCTGCGAGGCGGAAAAACAGACGGCGGTCAGCGGGGGGGAAAGTTAGCACAAAGCCAGGGGCCATTTTGGTTTTCTCACCTTCTCTGAAGAGACGTTCGACTCCTGTTTGAACTTCTGCAGCGTCCCCATGAGCAGGCCGAACATGCGCCGATTTCTGACCGGAGCAAAAGAGGGACAAACGTTTGGGCTTTTCCTTATTGTCAACAGCAGAGCAGACGTCCGCACTAGGGTTGTCAAAAGTATCGATACTCCAAAAAGTATCGATACTAAAATGTCGTATCCGGATACGATACTCATTTTCAAAAGTATCGATACCACCCCCCTTCTCTCTGATTTATTTACGTATTTATTTACGTTGTTTATGACCATTAACGTGACGTTAGCCTCGCTAGCTGCGGCTAATGGCTAATAATAACATGCTACCATTAATCAAGTACATATCCAACTCCGCCCACATCCAAGTCGGCCATTTTGATTACATCACCAATAGGAAGATCCCAGGCAAGAAAATCCTAATTGCTTCATGGCAATATAGACATTAATTTAAAAATAGTTAAATGAAGCTTTCAGACACTTAAGTAAACTCTATACATATTATGTTAAATAGTGGATATTAAATAAGTTTGTACAATAAGTCCAAACAAGTTTAACCAAAAAATATTTATTTCTCACAATTATGAAGGGTTAGGGTCAGGGTCATTAATGTGGGCCACAAGTCACGATAACATCAGTAACAGGTCAGTTTGAAATGAAAGACACAATTCAGTTAAATTTTAGGGTCTTTGTTTTTATCCTTGTGGTATCGAAAATGGTATCGAGTATTTTTCTGAGTATCGGTATCGTGACAACCCTAGTCTGCACACACACAGCGCCGGTCTACCTCTGCTTGCCCTTCTCGTCCATGGTCTGATCCTGGATGAGATCTCGGCGTGTTCTCTCCTTGGAGGTAGCGACTACAGACGACTGCAACGCCGGCTGAAAGAAGGCCAAGAGAAAACACATTAGATCTGTTTTCATATGCACAATATTTCCTGAGCTTTTGTTCGTTGTGAACAGCCTCCACTAGGGACGTCCCGATCCAGCTTTTTTCACTTCCGATCCGATAATGATCCGGCTTATCAGAGCATGTGCAAGTCTTGCAAGTCTAAAGTTATTAATCTACTTACTTAGTTGTCAGACTCATGTTGAACAGGGATTTACTCTGATAACAACTTAATGGTTAGGACACAGACCTGTGGTTACAGATGCTAATGCTAATGCTCTTGTGGGGTCGGACTTAAAATAAATAAAAACTGGATCTGGAGTCTGGATCTGCATTTTCTCCTGCCAGCCAATACGCATTTTGTTTGTAAATATCGGCGGACGATCGGATCCAGATATTGGATCAGAACCAGCTTAGCCTCCACTCTCAAACATCCCAGTTACATTGGTGGCTTCAACATCAAATGTAGCCAAATTTTAGATTTTAACAAAACGCATTTTTGCCGTTTTTCCCCTCTAAAGACACAGCATCCTCTCACCTTTTTGACATCATCATCATCCTCGGCGTCGCTGTCGGGACGCACGTCTCTCCGGGCCCTCTGGTCCCCTGCCAGCCTGCAGACAGAGGGAATACAGTCAGTAGCTGGTTTAAGCCAGTGTTTTTAACCCCTGTGCCTCGCTACGCTAGTGTGCCGCGAGTGATGGTCAGGTGTGCCGTAGAAAATCATCCTATTTCACCTAATTGGTCTAAAAAATATTTTTTGATGAGGAATTAATTATCTGCAATTAATATGCCATTTTTGAGTGTCTGTGCTGTTCTAGTGACTGGTGGAGTAATCATGTAATAATTCCTTATGACTAGATTTTGTAGATAATTTTGTATATTGAAGTGGACATGTTAAGTCCAATTTGAAAGAAGAAAATATACATGATAAAAAATACATTTTTGTGTTTATTTGATTCCTATTCAAGACACTTAGGATAAGATAAGAATAACTATAGTGTTACTATAGGCGGCTACAGATTTGTTTGACATTTTTAGTTGGTGCTGTGCCTGGGGATTTTTTCTATGAAAAAATGTACCGTGGCTCAAAAAAGGTTGAAAAACACTGGTTTAAGCTACAGTTAACCGAGCTAATTAAAAACAGCTTGTTTCATTGCTATCTTACAACAGACAGCAAATGGGAACAAGTCTCCATCACTGTGTGGTTATTTCGGAATATTTATTTAAAGCTTTTATTTCATGCAATGAGAATTTGGGGGAACAGAATTAAACGTATGTCAGTTTGCATGTGAAGTAGTAGCTGTTAATTATGTTCTGCTTTTAAATAAACAGTTCAGGATAATAATGAAAAAGATGTGATTTGATTTTCATCTCATCTGATATAAACATTTCCATTAATTATACATAATTTAAAAACAAGTAGTTCTGTTGAACAATTTCAGACAAACCTTGGCTCTTAACATTTCATCAATCCCGTCACAAAAAACCCTCAAAAACTCACCTCAACAGAGCTCCCTCGATGTCTCTCTGCTTGGCAGGGGGGCCCCCGCCGCCTCCAATCTCTGAGAGACTACGCCTGATGTTAGACAGAGTTCAGATCAGTGAATAAAGGCCTTTTTTCAGATTAATAAACCAGAAATGTCATCAGCTGTCCTGAAAGATTGGTACTCTTTCTTTTAGACCGGCCATTCACCTTGAAGAATGCTAGCTCTGCTTGCAATTTGATGCGAATCAAGTATAAACTGTATGTAGTTTGACATTTATTCAATCAATCAATCAATGTTTAGTTATATAGCACTTTACAACAACCGGAGCTGACCAAAGTGCTTTACAGAATAAAAACAAATCAAACGATTGAAATATTCAAAGACAAACACATTGGTGACAGAACCCAGTATACAGAGATTTTACGTGCAAAAAGCCATCCTGAACAAATTTTAAGTTGAGCTTTGAACAGTGGCAGGTCAGTAAATGAACGTAACTCAGTGGTTATATTGACGATAATTACATGTGGATGTAAACAACACACAATTAAGAGTAGATATGTGTGATAATTTATGCTAATGAGTGCTGAGCTTTATAAGTCTTACATGTCTCATTTTATGGTTAATAACACAGCCTATTTTTACGTTCTCATTACAAATTCTGAATATTAATTGTGAGGGCTTTACCTGAGTAGGTTGAGTCCTCTGCCCCTACCTCCACCCAGGGCTGCCATGGGGCCGCTCATCCTACGGAACTGTCCGGGTCTGTAAACGTATCAGTAAACAAGGTCAAACCCAAATACAAACCAGCCCTTTAGCAAACAGTGAAAACTAAAGAAAAATGCAAATATATTAGGAACTCCTGCGTTATTTTTGATACAATAAGAGCTCCTCCATTGTGTAAAAAGGTTGTGGTACCAACGCCTCAGGTGCTACGGCTAGCTAATTAGCCACCTCATGCTAACTTAGCTCGCGTCGCTTTTCGTTTTTAAACACACTAACTCATATTACAAAAAGCCCACATATGCATGAAAACTCACGCAAGTGCGTGGTAATATTACCTTGATTCATTTGGATCACGACCGGTGAGTTTACGGATATTATCATCCACATTTTTCAAGCTTTCCTTGGCTTTTTCGAGCTGGTCTTGCAAACTCCGCACCACCACCGCCATCTTGCTACCAGTTAGCGCGAATCACGTGTTCTTCTTCTTTCGCCTACGTTTGTGCAGTGCCAACGTCTCGCTCCTTCTTCTTCTTCGTCTGCTAAATTAATGTAGAGTGCCGTAGCGCCACATGCTGCTAAGAAATGGAGCGGGTAAACTTTTAAACGTTTTGGGGCTCCCATTTTTCGAGCACTAAGGTAAAATAAAATTTGATCTGCTTGTTTATTTACTGGTTGATTAACTTCAGATGCATGTTTTGATTTATATTTAGTGTTAAACCCTGTAAAAAACAAGAAAAGGGATTTAATAAACTTCTGATCCTTCTGATTTCTATTACCTTGTTATTAGTTATTTGTGGATGTAATAATGTTTCAGTAAAATTGTGAACGGTTACACAATAATGCGATTATATTTAAGTCAGATGATAACACACTTTGTCAATTGCCCCATCTTGTGTTGCTTTCTTAGTAAATAGTTCTAAAATATTTAAATTTCTGTGTGTACTTCTAGTTATAGCTTGGTGTATTAGTTATTCCTACCATGTTATTTGTTGTTTTATGTGAAACATATGGTAACTCCTACGTGTATTTATGGGCATGTGAGAAATCTTTTCAATCTTGCGTTTGAATGTTTATAGTAAGAATATGAAAAACTAGTCTCTTGCAGATTTAATTATGTGCCATCTTTTTATTTCCGTTTCTCTCCTTAGTACGCTTTATTTGATATTGCTTTTCCCTTCATGGACCAGTTATTCCTCTCATACTTGTTTTCAGTTTCTGTAAGTGTACGGACTTCCTATATATTTTTTCAAGTTTAAAACTTCTCTCTGTTCCTCCTTTGATCGTTTCATTTCCATCCGTCTGTTTGCTTTTAATGTGTCATTTATTTGTCTTTTTCAGTCATACTGTGTCTCTGTAGAAACTGTTTCTCCATGTATTCTATTTTACTTTCTTCTTTCTTCTTAATTTTTGAAAAGAACAAATTTATCCATCTCAGATAAAATTAAAATGTTCCCCTCCAAAAAAACAACAAAAAAAAACCTTGGAGATCTTAGAAAACATAATTTACATGATTTATAAAAACAGGACGATGGAAGCGAGTGGCTTTTTATTGTTTTTATTCACTGACTAAAAGAAGAGAAGCATTCATTCAACATCAATACAAATCAACATTCAGCAGGTTGACCCCTCGAGTGTACGTTATCTGTCAGTTCAAAGGTTTCCACGGAGGTTTGCAATGTGCACCCCCTGTTTTCTCTACACCCACAAACCAACTCTGCTCTCACTAGAATCTGTCCTTAGCTGGAAAGGGCTCTTTCCTTGCAGACTTGTCCAAAAACACAGCTGGGGGAGCGTTCACACCCGTTTTAAAATCCACCAGAAGTCAGGTCCCCGGCTAAAATAACTTATTTTCAGAGGCTTGTTGGGACTCTTTCAGGTGGAGATCTTAAATCCAATCCTCCATCCGACCAATTAAAACCACACTTATTTTTTTTCCTTGTCTCTCTGACACCTCTGGATCCAGTTGTGGTGGATAAAACGCAGCGTGATCTTAGAAGATCAGACTCTGGGGGGGGGGGGGGCGCCCGGTGCCCAGCTGTGCTTTGGGTCCCGCCTGGTTCCTGCTTACAGAACCCGGCACTTTGTGCTCGCCTCCGCAAACACAGTCACGCAGGAACGTTACATCCAGAATATTCAACATCAAGGATGGTAAAACCATTTCGGCAAAAAAATAAAAAAAGAAAAAACGAAAAAAAACAGTAACATAGCTTCTGATTTACAAAGTCTCTGTGATTTCATAATATTCTTCATGTTCATAAATTGAACCCGGACACGTGTTGCATAAGAGTATACGACGGGAATGCATTGATACCTCTACAAATATGCTCTGTGTGAGTTTATATACGTTTATACGCACAGGGAGAGCGAGATAGCTCTCTCTGTGCATACGCTTCTAACTATATTAATTTATATAGTTATATCTCTTCCTCTATGGTTTTCTAAGACGCAGCCGGGCGCTGTCAGCACTGCTCGTGCCCCTTTGTGGCCACTAGTAAGACTGCTGTTATTGCAAACTGTCCTGATTTTAAACAAATGCACAACATTCGTACCACGATAAAACTGGGGCCGTCTAGCCGGTCTCACAGAGACCAAGAGTGAGCCGGCCGTCCGCTGCTGGCTGACCAGAACCAAAAGATCTTAAAACTAAATGATACGATTTCACAAATCATCATAAGGCCAAGTATTGTCATTGCAAGTTCTTATTAGTTTACATCTTCGCTCCTACTGTGTGACAGTGAGAAAAAGCAAATATAAAAACAGAAGGAGATGAGTTTGGACTGTATGCGTTCCTCTTGCATAGTTGAGAGGCTGACTGGCTAATCGGGAGGTTCGGCTCTCCACACTCCACAAAAAAGACTCTGTTTAGCAGCCAGAGGCGTCTGAGATCTGAACGGAGACAGTCGGCTGCCACTGAGGATGGATCTCTACGCACCGGGGGCCATTTCTGTCCTAAAAACACGGAGCAGAAGGTCTGCAGATACTCTGGAAACAGCCGCCTCCAGCCCAGGCCCCCGTCAGGAACCCGCTCTGACCCGTGAGCCCCCCCCCCCCCGGCCTCATCAGGCCACAGGAGCCCCCCTTTCTTCCAGAGTTCCTCCGTGAACACAAACGAGGAACAGAAAGAAACAAAAAACACAAAAAGGGAGGTACAGTAACTCCTGGTATTGATCTCCACCCCCCCATCCCCTTCGTCCATCCCCCCCCTCTGGGGCTTTTTTCAGCCATTTTATGGCCGGGCCCATTAGGCACAAGGCCTCTTCCTGTGTTTGCTCGGTAGAACGTAACCATGGCGATAAATGCCATGGCGAGGGGGCGGGCAGGCCGGTAACCACGGCCAGACCTTCACACCGGGGACTTTTTGTGTACCGGACACAAACGGGGTGGGGGGGGCGCCCCCAAACACACCGCCTCCGAATGGCATCGCAGACTCCATTTCTCCCAAAAAAAAACAAAAAAACAACCTTTCTAAGTAAAAATATATAGATATATATTCATAGCACATCTGTTTATAGACTTGTATTCATGCACACGTTGTAGCACACTGCTGCCCACCCCCCCCACCCCCAGAGTGGAATGTCCTGTGCCCAGCAGCAAATAACTTGGCAGCTCCAGACCCAGCGGTAGGTTCCCCCCCCCTCCCCAAACACGAGTCCCAGGCCAGCTCCGTCTCAGAGGGGAGCTTCTGGAAGCTGCTTCCCTCGGACAGTCGCACAGTGAAACAGGAGGAGGAACCAGGGAGGGTTACGGGGGGCTTTGAGCTCCTGGGGACCCTGAGGTGAGGAGTGAGCCGGGAAATGTTGTATAATGCCGTTAAAACAGAGTCCTACACCCCCCCACACACACTGAAACGTCTGCTTTGGTCTCTTCACTGTGATGCCTGGTCCAGGACGCGCGGTCCGAAGTACATAAGGACAAAGTTTAGGTCTTAAAACATTGGAAGAACCCCGGGGAGGCGACGGAAAGCGTGGGGGGGGCAGGCCGGACAGGCCGGGTCCTCTGGGGTCTTTGGCAGCTTAGAAACACATCAGAGGGAGGACAGACGGTATGGTGGCTCCTCCCCTTCACACAGAGGCCTGTTTGCCGCCTCCTTTTAAAAAACCATCGGTACCCTGAGAGCGAGAGAGCCGTTTTTGCTTCGTGCTGAACGCTCACTTCTGCTGCTCGTACGCGGGAACTGGAGCAACTTAAAACACGACTGCAGACGCTTGTAACACATCTTCCCTAAAGTTTGAGCTAACAACAGCAACAACTAACACCTCAAACAAAGCCACAGACCCCAGAAGCTTTCAGAGCTAAGGGGCCTCCATGTTAAACCTCCCTCACGGGGATCAGAGACGGGAGTCGAAATTCTTCTTATTTTCGTTTTCCGAGTGAATTTTCACAGTGAAATTTCCACGCAGAGCTTTGGGTCTCTCTAGGGCGCCTTCATTTCATTCAAATATTAGAGTTTTGTTTCTGATTAAGCTCATGTTTCATGATTTAAATAATCTAAAATAAAAAAACACAAATGATCAATACATTCACTTCCCCAGCCCTCTGAAGGAAACCACCTAAACTACCAAGAGAAGCCAAAGGACAGTAACCAGGTGGGTAAGAGGGTCTGCCTAAAATCTTTTAAAATCGATTTGTTAAAGCAAAGAAGAAAAAAAAACGTTATGAGTTCAACAAAAAAACAAAAAAATCGCAGATATTTTCACAGCTGCAAACTTCCAACAGCTCAAATGAGTCACTCTTAGAGAGGGAGGGGCAGGAGGGGGGAGATAAGACAAAAAGCAACATAATTTGGTCTGAGTGTTGGCATTTCGTTCCCCTTTCGAGGTCACAGCGCCCCGCACAGCCACAGAGAGCCTTTGAGAAGAAACTCCTGACACCAAAGTGCATTTATCCTGAGATATGAACCGAGGACAACACAGATCGTCACGGCGACGCCGTCGAGGTCCGTCTACTGGAGGGCAAAAACGCTCGGACCGACCGGTTCGTTCTGGAGCGAGTAAAGTGCTGGGTGACTCCGGGACACTGGTTTCAGATCGGGGCTGTGTGTCAACCTTGTAAACAACAGAGCTCCCCGTGTAACGGCGCCGAGTTTAACGGATTTACCGGGTAAAAGACCCCCACCGGGCTCCGGAAGTGACCTGTCAGGACACCAGAACACACACATGCACGTACGTGCAACGAGCAGCTAGGTTTTGTCATTCTTTAGCCTTCACCAACCTTAATCTTTGAAAACAAATGTATGATTAGGTTTGCTGACCCTCCGGCGGAGGCGGAGCGAGGGTTCATCCGACGACAACAACAACTACGTCTGAAAAAAGAGAGGCTGTTTCCAAGGCAACTGTGACTGGAAAGGAAATAACACACAAAAAAAAAAAATCAAAAATAAAACTAGATAAACCGATTGTTTCACACGTCCTGCTTCACACCCCCACCGGCGTCGGGGCGATGTCAGAAGCCTACCTGAGACCGACCACCCGAAACCTCATTGTGCTATAGGAGAACTGATGTGGAGGGGGGGGTTCAACCGGGAACG